GGGTGGGGCTTAAGATCAGAATTAAAAAATAGACTTATGGGTATGTCTAGATTATGCAATTAAAATATAAATATATATATATATATATATATATATATATATATATAAACAAAGCTTGTTCTTCAAAAGAAAAACAGTTGACAATGCATTTACGTAAGACAACGCTTTTAGCTGTCTTTGTAATTATAGTGCTTAATATTAATAGCAACAAATAAATTTAAATGTTCCACTCATCTGTCCCAATTCTGAGTTTCGGGGAAATAGTATCAACGTATCATGGGGCTTCAGAGTAATAATGAATATTACCGTCTTTAATGCATAATTAGATACTTTATAGCAACATTCAAATTTATTATCAAACCAGCTGACGATTGGATATATGAAATGAGAACGAATCGAATATAAATTGGTAACATTAATTTAAAAGAGTGCTCAATACAATAGTAGAGCAATATTCTTCATTTTAGGATAGTACATCAAAACATGCTTTGATGTAATATCCTAAAATAATATATATATATATATATGTGTGTGTGTGTGTGTGTGTGTGTGTGTGTGTGTGTGTGTGTGTGTGTGCATATAATTCCTCTTAGAAGTAATAAATAAATGCTTTACCATAGACAAGAATTGCCGATACATCCCAAGCAAGGTGATAATGCCACTAAGACTCAAGGGGGTTATTGGGAATAAAAGAGAATGCGAAGAACCAGAAATCCAATTCTAAAATGGAAACCAAGGATGAACCCCTTACTCATATTCAAAAGACAGGGGAGGAGTGTGATTCGGGCTATAGTCGAAAATAAACAAATAAATAGTAAAAAAAGTATCAGGGTTTAGGCGGGGACGTCAGTAGTATAGAGAAGTACATTTTTAGAGGGAACGGAAACCCAATCCTAAACAGGAAACAGGGGATTAACGTCCACTCCCGTGCATTTTGTATTATTACAATTTCTGAATGTCTTACTACATCGAAATTAAAACTATTTATGACATTTCTAAGGCACAAATCAAAAGCACATTGAGAATTATCTTGAACATCTTCCCAGTTCTCTTTCCGCTACTCTCAGGTAAAACCTCGATCGTTGTTTTCTCGTTAAAACTTAAAGCTACCACCCAATGAAAGGTAATTGCTAACATTACTTAACCACGTAGATGTGGCTAATGAAAAATTTCTGTCGAGAAATCTCGAGAGAAATTTCCGTGGTGAAATCCCGCGCGGATTTTCTGAGAAGAAATCTTGCGAGAAAATTTCTATTGGCCAATCTCGCGAGAAATTTCTGACGACCAATCTCGCGAGAAGTTTCTGACGAGTAATCTCGCGAGAAGTTTCTAAAACTCAGACACTGACATGTCTTATAATCCCTGATACTGTATTACAAATAGTGAAATTTGATTTTCCCATCTTCGTAACAAATTTACGTATTTTCCCAGTGGTGATTTTTCTATCTACCGCTTGTAAATGAGATTTAAACATCACATAATAAACAGCATCCTGTCATGTAAAGAAGGCAGAACCTATGGAGAAACACCATACACATTTCAGAGGTATTTCGTAACACTTTTACCAGTTATCGTTTTTCTTACTCTGGCAGAGAATCACACAGGGATTCAATACAATTCGTAAATAAACACAATGAAAGCAATGATTGTCCAGGAGCGGCTGAGGGGATATATGATATCTCGTGTCCCGTTCAAGGAGTTGAAAAATGTCTCTTTTGTTTGACAAGATATTGTCGTTGTTTTTTTTTAAGCATCGCCTGTTTAATATTTTTTACGCTCAAATGCTTATTGTTGGGTCCGTCTCGAATGCAGTACGATATATTAAGTATGTGAAAAAGTTCCCAGCACCCTTTTTGGCAAACTAGAGACTGAACACACGGTTCATTTTTTTTTCTTTCATAGGAATCTTTTGCATAAACCTTATATAATGATGCATCGCAAAAACTGGGATATTTCCCGGAGACGTCTGACTTTCCTAATTGACCCTTACCATCAACTTTTATAAATACTGCCGGCCACTACCGTCGACCGCTCATTCACTTTAAAAATAGTTTTTTATTTTTTTTATTTAGTGTCCAGTGGTTTAAAATGTCAACATTTAGCATTTCCCGTTAGATCCGTCTTGGAAGAGTGCTTCAAAGAATCAGGCGATTTCCCTTCTAGTCCACCGACAACTCGTCCGTTAAACGTGAATGGCCAAGTCTGCAAAGAAAAAATGAAAAAAAAAATCAGTTGACACTTGGAGAATATTAGGACATAGCGAATAAAAGTCAATCCGAAAAATATGCTCGAAAGCCATTAACTAGAAGATAAAACACTATTTCAGCGAATACTTCAGCGCTAAAAAGAAAGAAAGACACAGAGGTATGCTGTATTTGAATGAAAAAGCAAGCCTACTTGGGTCTACCAGGCCTGTTCGGAAAGTTTCTCGCCATTTCGAGTATATCAAGAAACGGTTGCGTAGCCTTGATGTAACTTGGAAACAAATTATAAAGCACAGACACTCTCCCATAACGTTACCCAATCGGTAGCCAAACTCCGTTGACTAAAATTGTGTATTACGTAAATCTGGCAGTGAATCACACAGGGATTCAATACAATTCGTTGATAAACACAATGAAAGCAATGATTATCCTGGAGCCGCTGAGGAGATATTTGATATCTCGTGTCCCGCTCAAGGAGTTGAAAAATGTCTCTTTTGTTTGACAAGATATTGTCGTTGTTTTTTTTAAGCATCGACTTTTTTATATTTTTTACGCTCAAATGCTTATTGTTGGGTCCGTCTGTCAGTGAATCACACAGGGATCCAATACAATTCGTAGATAAACACAATGAAAGCAATCAATTAACTCTTGGAGAATATTAGGACATTGCGAATAAAAGTCAATCCGATAAATATGATCGAAAGTCATTAACTAGATACCTGGTCTGTTAGTATGAATAGGGGAATATTCATACTAACATACCTGGTCTGTTAGCATTAATATTCCTATATTCAGACCAGGTAGATTCTTCACATTCCGAGATGTTTATTTATTTAATTATTTATTTTTGTAAAACATTCAGAACCACCCCCACCCCCAAGTCTATGAACCGCTCTACATTGCAATTGTGACATTTTATGTCTGTTAGTTTCTTTCAATGTTAAAATATCAACGAGGATGTAGAAAAGACAGAAGAACACTGTGAAAAGAGTTGGGGGGGCGTCCAAAAGGAAGTTGTTTGATGAGAACTAATGTGTCATTGGCATAGGTAGACTATTTTCCTCATTATTAAATGGTTGGAAAGTTTCCAGACTAAACCCGTAAACTTCTTGAATCACTTACACGTAATACTAATAATAGAAGATCTTAAAAATGACCTTCAATCTGTTGCTAACTGGAGCAAGAAATAACTTGTTAATTTTAATGACTCCAAAACGAAACTTTCAATCGCCTTCGAGAACCTTTTTTGCCTTCCATCGGTATGACTGATGCTAACCTCCACGTGAACGACATTGCGCCTTCTCGGACTAACATTTTCCACTAACATAAAGTGGAAGGATTATATCGAATCAATTACTAGATCTGCTGCTAGGAAAGTTGGCTCACCATGTTCGAGATAGTTTTCTTCTTTTTCTCGCCAAAATATATCTTACGCACTTGTCTAGGGTGGCCACTGAGAAAATGAACATTTGAAAAAGTCATAACTTGTTCGCTTTCAATCTTTTTCATTTTCTTTTTTTTCATTTTTCTTTTTTTTTCTGCAGATTATAAGGTCATCCCTTTGATGCCCAGCAAAGAGTAAAATTCATTGAGTTTTTCTATTCCAATGAAAGATGAATTATTCAAACTCAGAGAAAATACCGACAACATTTTAATGTCAGAGTATCTCCTAGCGATAACATGATTCGGAGCCTAATCGCCTGGTTTGAAAGAATTGGATCAGTCGACGATCTTCCAGCGGTGAAAGCTGTGCGGCAGAGTGTCCTTAAGGATCCGTTACTTTCTACCCATCGTTCTTTTGCATTTCTATCAGCTTTGATTTTCAAAAATTTAAATGCAATATCAATCAACATTTTCTATCTCCCTGAATCTTGTTCTTTTATTGTCTTCTCTTCTTAATAATGTTTTTCGTATTTCTAAAACTCTTTCATCCTCAGTAACTATTTAGTGGCTTTATCACTTTTTGTTGATGAACTGATTAAAATAAGTAGACAAGTTTGTTCTATTATTTACATTATTCGGACTATTGTCCTCATCTTTGTCGCCATATTTATTACAACGTTTCGGCCGTTGTACGCTCCGGCCTTCTTCAGGTGGTTGGAATGTCGAACTGAACCCTTTATTTCGCTCACTGGGCTAGACTGTTCTAGTTCCACGTGCCACGTTTGATGGATGTCAGTTATCAGTTATTTCCTTTTAATTTCTCCCTGAAAGTTCTCCACTGCCTTAACCGGGTATTGAACTCACACTCTTTGGGTTCAGTCACTGAGTCTAACCAAGGCCTTTATCCACTGTGCCATGTGTGTGAGTTCAATATGGATGTCAGTTATCAGTTATCTAGAATTTTTTAGGGGGGATAATAAAAGTTTGGCGATACAAATCTTACTAATTAACCCATAACTGGGGGATAAGAGGTGATTGATTCGTTTTCTACGGCTTGTCAACCCATTTCAGGTTATTTAAAACCAGAAAATATTTTAAGATTGTAAGAATTTTTTAGGGGGAGATAATAAGAGTTTAGTGATACAAATCCTACTAATTAACCCATAGCTGGTGGATAAGAGGTGATTGATTGATTCGTTTTTACTGTTTATCAAACTTTTTCAGGTTATTTAAAGCCAGAAAGTATTTTGAGACTGTAAGCATTCTTTCTTTTTTTCTAGGTAATAATTGTTTTAGTGATACAATTCTTTTCTGCGTAAGAGAATATAACGAACATAACGGGAATTGGAACTCGGCTCTCCGATAAACAATTCGAATTTTATACATTACACCTGCCGCACATCCAAACTTATCGCACTTGGTATTCCCAAGCAGTCACCCATCTTACCAGATTCGACGTTGCTTAACTTCGGAGATCGTATGGGAACGGATGTTTCAACGTGATGTGGTCGTAAGCTGGTGACATTTAAAGAATTGTGGGTACTACCGGAAAAAAAGAAACAAAATAGAAAATAAAATCAGTTCTAATTTTAAGCTAAGCAGAAAAGCGGCTTTTCTTTTGCGGTCACCTTTGTCTGTGTAAAATCTGAGATACGTCTTCTTCTGTATAAATTGCTAAATTAAGTCGGTGAAGCTTCCCTTTGGTCGATGAATTTCATCAAAAGCTCAAGTGAGCAACGTTCGTAATGTGATGAGAAATGAAATAATCAGGCATTGAAAGAAAATTGCTATTGTTATCTGTTTGTTTACGCGATAGAGAGAGCCTGCGTTCACATACGACTTAATGGGGATAAATGAATCTATCTGTAGGTCAATCGAGAGAAGAAAGAGCGGGTATACAATTATCTACGTGTGGGGTAGGTCTAAGTCACTCAAGCGCGCGCGCACGCGCACACACGCACGCACACACACACACTCACACACACACACACACACTCTCTCGCACACACACACACACACACACACACACTCACACACATACACACACACTCACACACACACATACACATACACACACTCACACACACACACACGCACACACACACACACACATACACACGCCTATGTGTTTCTATTTTTCTGGCTTATGGCTACATCACTTTGAAACGTCGGTTTCTGTACGATTACCGAAGTTAAGCAAAGTCAAGCTTGGTCAGTACCTAGATGGGTGACCGCTTGTAAATACCAGGTGCTGTAAACTTGGATGTGTGGATGGTGTAATGTATAATGGCTCGGAATTGTTAATCGGAGAGCCGAGTTTCAATTCCAGTTGAGTTCATTATATTTACTTCTGTGAAAATACTCTTGGGAAAAAGTATGGATCTACATCTTCTCCTCCTAGCTATGGGTTAATTAGTAAGACTTGGATCTATAAATCATTATTATCTTCCCAAGAAATCTTACATTCTAAAAATATTTCTGGCTATAATTAACCAGCAATGTTTTGATAAGCCGTACAAAACTGTTTATCTATCCATTATATATATATATATATATATATATATATTTCCATTATCTATCTATTTATCTGAGTTTGTTCATTATCTATCTATCCATTAGCCAGCTATATGTCTGAGACTGTCCATAATGTATCTAAATAGATATAGCATGAATATAGCAATAAACACGCATTAATCAACACCATGATCGCTTAAGGCGTGAACCTGCCAGTTATTATGCAGTGTTGATTTCTATGGACACACTGTTTTTATCTATCTATCTAGAGAGAAAGTAATAAATTTAATTTGACCCGATTTTGGCCGTATATATATATATATATATATATATATATATATATATATATATATAACTGATTTAAAATATGTTTTTTCGCTACACAGTAATAACCATGTTTCAAAAATGGAAGCTAAAAACTTTAAATTTAATTTTGTAATTGAATTAAAAACATTAGTTCCATTTCATCCTCAAGCGAATTTTGGAGTAACATTTTAATGCTCTGTAAATTTACATTGAGAACTATTTTGTAAAAATAAAAAATATCAATAAGAACACCGGATTACATATCTTACTGTTCTTTTTTATATTTATATATATATATATATATATATATATATATATATATATATATATGAGTTAAAGGTGAAAATGCAGATCAAATACGGCAGAATCCGACAGGGTAATAAAAGAAAAGAACAAGTAGAAACATATATCAATCTAACATGTTTCACTTTTATTAAAGCTTCATCAGATGTTAGATTGATATACGTTTCCTATTTGTTCTTTTCTTTTATCATATATATTTCTTAAGAAAAGGGTGTTATTTTATCCGACAGGTTTTCATTATTTAACGTTATTTTTAGTGGATAAACTGTTTAATAAATATACGTTGCCTCTACTCAAATACGAGTATCCACTAAAAATAAAGTGATATATATATATAAAATCCTGTATGAGACGCAGGATTTTTTTTTCGTCCAAAAAATGTTCCTGCTTCTTGTACTTTAGTTTAAGATTCAATCCTCTATATATATATATATATATATATATATATATATATATATATATATATATATATATCAAGTATGTGTGCAGTTCAATTTACATTACATGAATCATTCATACATAAAACAAATATAGAAGTTATACCATTAACTTCTATATCTGTTTTATGTATGAATGATTCATGTAATATATATATATATGTGTGTGTGTGTGTGTGTGATAAAATTCAGCGTCTTTTTTGAACGTTTAGTTTTATATCTTAGTATATGTATGTATAGTGTGCATGTGTGTGTATCTGTGTGTCTATTTGCGTTTGTGTGTGTGTGAGCATGTGTGTGTCAATATACCTATACTACCTACTAATTTGTTATTATATGTATGTGTATATATAGAAGTTATGTCATATGTATGTTAAGTGTTATCTGCAATTATGTGTAGTGAGAATATTCATTTGTGTGTGTATGTATGTAAGAGAAGAGTGCATATGTATGTACAACTGCACTCATAAATGTATGTATCTGTGTCCGCGTATTTATATGTGTGTACTTGTGTTTATACATATTATATATATGAGTTACTAACACTCACGTGCGTGTACGTGAGTGTTAGTAACTTGTATATATGTGTGCGCGTGTGTGTGTGTGTCTTTGTGTGTGTGTGTGTGTGTCCATACGTTTGTGTGAGAATGACGAGGGGACAGATACGACTGTTTCTTATCTTCTGTCATTCATTGCTCAATGTCTCCTTCTTGCCCCTCGACTCTTTCATCGTCACCGTCACCGTCGTCGTCGTCGTCGTCACCATCACTGTCGTTGGTGGCGGGCGGTGGCGGTACGCGGTGGCGGTACGCAGTGTCGTTCCATCTCCCTTCCCAGTATATCTTGTCCACTCATCACCGCACAGAGGAAAGTGTTATCGGCGGATTCTATCGCATATCTAATGTCAACGAACGAACGAACGACCTTTTGTGGGCCCCACCCACAAACCCGAACCCCTAAGAAACTATTTTACGGTCTCAGTTAATGTTACACAACCTGTCTTTCTCCCATTTCAACATTTTTTTCATCACTCATTTTTTTTTCTTACCTGTTACTTCTTTGCTCCTAAAAATCAAAAATTCTTCTTTTATTCATTTCTTAATAATAATGGGAATTACAAAACATGTGTAGGCAATAGTGATCTTCTAAGCGTAGATGAAGCACAAGGCCAGAAGTATGGAGCACCCAGTCGTAATTAGCTCTAGCGAGACAAGCTTGGTAGCCATTACTCCACTTCGAAGCGCCCATGTGTTGGTAAAGTAACAGATATCGATGCAGAAAGAAGAAAGTCCGTGGGTCGAATTCAAATTCCGGGCTAGTTTGGTGCATTCACTTTCGCACTCATACGTGTGGAAAAGGTATGAACATATATTTTCTTCCATACCCACACCATGTTTAGATTAAATAGCAGAATCGACTTTAAAAGAATGACAACTTTGAATATCAAACCATAGAATTTTGTGGCAACCAGCCTAAAAGAAACGCTCCATTATCTTCCGCCTAACAATTGTAGATAAGAATTATAGAATAGTAATAGATATTAAAGAAAATGAATTTGTTGAGAGTCATGATCTTCTAGGGGACATTGTATTGGAAGAATATGAACATGTTCTTTTATGTACTGTCCTTTCAGCATGTCGACGATCTGAATTATGACTCTCTTCAACTTCCCCTCTTTTGTTGCTTTCACTAATGTCTAACACTTTACCCCCGCTCTTTGTCCCTATCCTGCCATTCATTCACCCAAGTAGGTTAGACGTTTTTCCCTGTCAGTGTTCCATTCTCTAGTCCCTCTTTCCCCGTTAAGCGTCCGAGAAATTTCAGCTGTCTCGTTCTGATTGTAAGTATAAGCTTCATTGTTGTTTTTATATTCCTCGTTTTCTCGTTTCTCACATGTTCTGTCTATGGCATTCTTAACATTTATTTGTAGAAGTGCATTTGTGTTGCTTCATAACTAACGCTCATTCGGTTTTCACTGCTGTATTGGAGATTAAATATTTCTAATATTTAGGGGAAATAAAATAAAATGGATAACTGAGAAATATCTATTTTCTTAATTTTAAAAAAATATTTTCATCCCAAGCAAGGCAATAAAGCCACTAAAATGTAAGGGATTACCTGATGTTATAGAATATGAGAAAAACACTATTAAGGAGAGAGAATAAATTAATAAAAATTAAGAAGATAACGATTGACATTGCCTTTACATTTTTCAAGTTCAAAGTTAGCAGGGTAGCAAGAAGCCGGAAAAGAATTCCACAAGCGAGAAGTGCGATAGAAGAAACTGTTAATATAAGACTTACGGTTACATCTAACCATTTCAACGGTAAAATAATGAGACCATGCCACCAATCTAGTACTGCGTTTAAATTCATAAAGTTTAGGTACCATAGAGGAAAGAAATAATTTTGTATCAAATACAAAAACGTGGCACAGGACAAAAGGATGGGTATGGGGGAGGCTGGTCTTTTTCTGTTTTATAATTAAACTTAGCTCACCATAATTACTGACCCAATCCTACAACAGTATTCCTTACAGCAAAGCAACACATTCTTACTTACCATTCTTACTACAGCCAACATAATGCCACAAAGTCTCTATGAAGTCCTAACTAGTTTCTATATGTATAATTTGTTTGGGAATGGGGGAGGAGTAGAGGAAAGTTTAACAGAACAATTACCATGAAAGTATTTATAGAAAAGGACGAGATGCCATGTCAGGACGAATAGAATTACAGATTCTTTTATCAAGAACCTCTAAATAGTAATTCTTGTAGTTTCCTTTCTGTAACTGCTATCAACACTGTTTCTTTTGCATATCTTATATTATGAAAATTGTGACTGCTAATTGTGAATCCTGGTAGGACTTCTAATTTTCTCAGAATCGTCTCATGGTATAGATTGAATAAACCCGGTGAGAAGTCGCATCCTTGTTTTATGCACCTTTCTAGTTTTATATATTTACTGAATTCATTTTTTATCTACATGCAAGCTCATTATTCAATATCTGTTGGAAGTGTATGAATCTGACGAAAAAGGAAAACAAAGATTTTCTCAAATATGTTGGAATTGTTAACAAGGAGTGTGAATGAGTCAAAATTAAATGAGCTAACTCCAAATATGTATATAGACTTAATTTTCGTTCAAGAGTTAACGGCGAAGAAAAGACACAGAAATATGTGCTAGAATTCTTGAACATAATCAAAAATTAACATTACAAGAAATATCGGACGAATATCAGAGAATCCTAAATTTGAGACGCGGTACGAAAGAATTTGAAGAAAGAAAATAAGCATACAATCAAACTAAAGAAAATGCGGAAAAAGAAAAATTAATCGATGTTTCAGATGTCGAAGGTTACATCTCCCTTTAAGAATTCAAAGTGCTACAAGTGTGGAAAAATAGGACATGAAAAGTCACGCTAAGGTTTATGTGTTAAAAATACTACAAACTTATTCGGTATTGACTGGAAGGAATTATCTGAGTTCTAGGATTTATCTATAAATGGTTATTTAAAAAATGTAAGTGGACAAGCTACCAGTTTTAAAAAAAGTGTGGAAATTTAAAGGAAGAATTGGAAAAATGTTTTCCGGATATTCTGTCGGATAAGTTGGGTCGACGTTCTAAAGTCAAAGCGTAATTTCAAGTGAAAAATGGTCGACGCAAGCGTTTAAACCGAAACGTAGTGTACTGTTCGC